TTCTTATACAAAATGACTAATATGGAAATGCTTTACATGATTGTACACGTATAAATTATATTGGGTTGCTTATTGTCTTGGAGCGAGTGAAGGGAAGGAAGGAAGGAGGGTTAGAATTTGAAGCTCAAAACTTTTTTAAAAAGCTTAAAATTTTTCTAACATGCAACTGAGAAAAAAGTACATATATGTTTATATACATACATACATATACATATATAGAGAGAGAGAGAGAGCACATTTATAACATGCAATGCCAGCCATTCTTGGTTGCTGTTGTCCTTCTTAGCTGCAATTATGGTAGCTCTCCAGTCTTTGATGAAGGCTGGGTTTTTTATATGAATACAGAAAGCTTTGTTTAAACCTAAACCAAACAATCTCATAAGATAAAATGCAGCTCATTTATTCTGGATAGCCATCTAAAGGTTTACAAAGAAAAAGCTCTTCTTGATATGGACAAACTATGAATAAGAGCTATGAACTAACTACCCCTAACCTAGGACCTGTAGTGAGTCACTAGAATGTGTTCAGTAAACATTTACCACAAATGACCATAATCACAACAATTTATCTATAAGTCGGTTCTCTTTTTCTGCAGTAGTACAGAGGGAAGGAGGGCAAATTTGGAGTCGAACATTCTCCAGAACTTGATTCCCAGCTCTGCTACTCACTACCTATATGACCTTGGGAAAATTATTTAATTCCTCTACACCTCATTTTCCTCATCTGTAAACACAAGGGATTGGACAAGATGACTTCTAAGATCTCTTACAGCTCTCACCTTATAAGCTACTAAATAAATACAGACAGATCTCTCCCAAAGATTTTATATCTAAGACCAGGGACAAAAGAAGGTCTAGCATTTAAACTGATGTTGGACTCTTTAAACAAAGGGGAGGGAAGCATTCAAGGTTTTGGATAATGGAACTGTTTTCAAGGCAAAAGGATAATGACATATGGCATTTATGGTACACCTTTCTCCTAACAATCTGAAGATTGTTAGATCTCCTAATGAATTTTACAAATCTCATGAGGAGAAGGGTACATAGCAAATCAAAATTAAAAAAAAAGTTCAGGCACAGAGAAATGAATTCTGTAGTTCAGCGTTCTCAAATAAGTTATCAATGATGAGAAACATAGCTCACAGAATGCTGAATTTGAAGAATTGAACTTGGAGTCATAGGACCTGAGTTCAAATCCTGATCCCAATGCTTTCTGCCTTTGTAATCATAGGTAAGTCTTAAACTTCTATTGGCCTCAGTTTACTCATCTGTAAAATGAGAAAGTTGGACTAAATTATTTTTAAGGTCCCTTTCAAATCTAAATATACGATTCACACATCCAGACCAAGATCCTGGCCTCTGGATAATTGAGATATCAGGTTTTAGCTGTCACACTCCTATCACTGACAGTATCCTATTCTATGAATGACCTTAGGTCAATAAGAACATTTTTCTCTTTTAAAATCACTATAACATACAGTTCGTTTCTTAATTATTTCAAGAAAATGAAGGCATTCACCATGGTAGATTGGTTTCTCACCACTTGTTACTATATTGTATTTACATAAGAAAATTGCTTATCTGGTTCTGTCTAGAATAACAGAAAGTTTTCAAAAACACAGATGAACCAAATGAGCATAATTTAATCGAACAAGAGTAAAGAGTATTATGCTCTAGTGACACCAGTAACAAGAATTTCTGATATTCCTCACTTAGGTCCATTTACTAATGATACAGCACAGTAAACAGCAGTGATGTGAAATTGAAACAGAAATGGAGTACATAAGGACTCCTGCTGGCTGCATGTTGACTTAGCAGACCACATATTGATATTATCTGCTTATTATACTTTTATTTATTTGGCTAAATATTTCCCAATTATTTTTTCATCTAGCTCTGGCTGATATCAGAAGTGTTGGACAAATGAGGACCTCAAGCTGTAATTTGTTTGAAACATCTGGTATAGGGGATAGAGTGTCATCCCTGGAGTCAAGACTTCACTACAAGACTAGCCTTAGACACATATTGCTGTCATCTACCACCTATGTGACCCTGAGCAAGTCATTTAACTTCTCTGGGCCTCAGTTTCCTTGGCTATAAGAAGGGGTTGGCCTAGATGACCTCCAGCTCTAAATCTCTGATTCTAGTTTCTGGTAGTGTAACCATGGACAAATCATTTAACCTCTTAGTACACCACGCAACTCTTGTAAATGTGAAATTACAAATGAGATGCCAATGTGAATCAATAGAGGAAGTTTCCACAATGGGAGTTCCCTATATTGATGACAGCATAGGTGTGAACCAACAGTAACAACAACAAAAATCCTCAACTAATTAATTCCTCAACTAGTTCTCATGTAAGAACTTACTAGAAAAAAAATAGATCTTACCTTTGTATGCTTTGTAGTGTACAAAGGAATTTCACATACATTGATATTTTCATGACTCTATGATATTATTAGTGTGGATATTCCCTTCATTGGTATAACTCACAACCCATCCCCATCCTGCATGATTCTCACTCATGCCTTTCTAATACAGTATAAGATACTATAATATCGAATACACAGCACATCCCCCATTCTTTTATTTAAATATACATCAAATTCATCCCTACCTAAATGGCTCAGGACTATACCTCTTTTGTATAACTGAATAGCATATTTTCAATAACATTGAGTTATAAAGTTCACCTTTCAGCTTTTTTTTAATATTTTGACTTGCATCTACCCATCTTCCTGGGCTATTATGAAATAAAACCAAAAATTACCTCAGGGGAGTATCCTGGAACTGCTAATGGCACCCCTACAAGTTATCTTTTAGTTATTGAAAATTATTCAGCAGTGTAATACAATGGAAATAGAGTTGGCTCTGGAGTCACAGGGCTTGGGTTCAGATCCTGCCTCTAAGACTTATTCTTTGGGTAATGCTTGGCAAGTGACAACCATCCTGGGCTACAGTTTCCTCAAGGAGGGGGTCAGATTAAATGGCCTCTAAGGTTTCTTCCAGCTCTGGACCTATGATTCCAAACCATATCCTCAATGGCAGTAATTTCCAGGTGAGGAGTGCCAGAGAGAGGTCTTCAAATAGGCACTGAGGATATTTAAAGAGGAGGGGGGGAAAAGGTCCTAGGACCAATTCTTCTGGAGAGAGGTTGTAAATCTACAAAGCTTTGCAGCCTCTAGCCTGATAGGCACAAACCTGAGTCATAGGCCTTCCCCATGCTCACCCTAGCTCCTGATATTCCTAAATCACCAAAAATTCAGATTAACTGAGATTGGGTAGAGAAAAGTATACAGGGCCATTTCATAAAAAATAAATAATGAGCATTTAGTATCTTTTTCTTCTCATGTTACCAAGAATATAAATGAGTAGACACCAACAGTAACTTCAGACGTATTGGCAGACTCTTGTCTTCTCTCTCCCTCCAACATTAAAGGGGAAGAGAAGGAAGCCAAGCAATCCTTAGGCCCTGAGATGCTGGAACAGGTCATATTCTCACAAGGATTTTTCACAGGTTGACATAAGATGGAGATTTAGTCCAGTGAAAAGCAAATGTCACAATAAAAGTTTCATGAAAATACAAAACCATCTTGAATTGAAAGAGCTACTGTATGAGATTAAAAACAAACCAATCCAATAACTTTTCAGACTTCTAAGCCCATATCTCCCCCTGAATTGTGCTTATACCACATCCAACATTTCTTTGAGAAAGTTTTCTCCAAACAGAACATATGAAACCAGGCTGAGATTTTGAGAAAGAAAGTTTAATAATACAGTAATAGTTGGAGTATCATCCAGGAAAAGTGTACTGTAAAAATGTTTTGAATATTAATTTACCTCAGGTCACTTTAGAGTTGTAAATACTTGCATTATAGTGAGGTAGACAAAAACAAAAATCTCCATTAGACAGAATTTAAATTTTGTAATATTATTTAAGGAAATGATAACATTATGTAAGAATGAAATATCTGATTAATGCGTAACTTTGTACAACTCAAATATAAACTTTAAAAATATTAGAAATTATAACATTTCGAGTGCATATAATGTTTTGTACATTAAAATGAAATGTATGCTGTTCATTTCCTTTTTGCACTTTCAGGCTGCTTAAATAAACAAATATATACAGTCTTAACATGAACAACAGTGCATCCAAAGCAAATGTGCATTTTAAATTATTGCTCCTGGCCAAGTCCTTTTTTTTAGTTAGTATTTTATATTATTTTTATTATTATTATTCCCATCTTTTCTTTGCCAGTTTATAGTTCTGTGAACCAGACAAGCTAACAGGGTTAGACTGAGAGAGAGCAAAACTACACAGGTGGGAAAAAAAAACCTAGACCTTGTTTTCCCTTAGTTGTTCTCTTGGTTGAAGAAATTTCACAAGCCCTTTGGAGGACCTACTTTTAGGACAATGCTTACAAATAATACTGGTGTACGCTGGGGCGGGGAAGAGGGAGTTCATTTTTTGCTCTGGAACTAAGGAATTAAACAGTACCATACCCAATTCCCTGCATTATGAAGACTGATTCCACCACCATCATCACCCACTGCCCCATTCCCCTCCCCAAGTTCAATGTAACACTTTGCTCTTTTCACAGTTTTTCATTACTAAGTTTTAAAAACATAGCCTAACTGGTAATTACAATCTGAAACAATTCTTTTGGGGGTGCCCTAGGCGATTTCTGGCTGGTAATCTTTCAGGAATGTCAGAGAGAAAAAGGGAGAAACTTTTCAGATAAACTTCAGAGACAGGCATTTCTATATTCCTGGATCTTTTTCTCTCTGCTTCTTTCCCTTTCACTCCTTTTCTCTTCCTGTGGCAAGATTAGACCCTCCCACCTTGCTCTGAATCGGGTGGGTTAGTTACCACCATCTCCCCTCCAAATCTGTCCCTTGGCTTCCTCCCCCAATCCTTCTCTTCTAGCTACCCTCTCTCACATAGTTCTCTCTCTCTCTCTCTCTCCCTCCCCTCCCCTACCCCCCTAACTCACCCATCTCCCTAACCCACCCATCCCCCTCTCTCCTTTCACTTGATTGTTTTTTGTACTTGGGAAATTGCCTTCACCTAGAAGGAGACATGGATCATCAGATAATCCTGAAAGAAAGAGGCAGCTAAGGGGAGGAGGAGGAGGGGGAAGGGAGGGAAGGGGAGGGGGGGAACAATTTCACTGGGGGGGCCTTGCCTCTTTTCTCTCCTGGCTCTGTCCATTATCCGACCTAAACTATCCCTGGCTTGAACCGATTCTTGTCACTCTATCAGGCATGAACTCCCCAGCTCCCCACAAAAAAAAAAAAGGAAAGCTTGCAAAATAACCCATATCTCCTCAGAACTGGAGCCCCACAATTGGATTCTGACAGTACTAAGAAAGGGACTGTGGGCAGTCGTCGGAAGCTGGGGGTGATCGGGGAGGAGGTGTCAGATTGAGTAAGAAAGAGATTCAGGCCATTTGAGTTCTTGACCCACTCATACTAAAATTGTCTTGGAAGGTGGAGCTTTTAGGGGGAAAAGATTCTGGGTCTTGGGAAGGGGGAGAGATTTTGCTGTTTTAGGATATTCTGTTTGGATGGCCACAAGGCAAGTTGACTTCACCCAGAAAGGAAATACAAAACTCGGCATGGTCCAAAAACAGAGAAGATCGGGATGTGGTTAGAGGTGAATCTCCTCCCTCCCCCGCCCCAACACACACCCCGTTTTCTTTGTAAATAATAATTTTCAATCCATGGGACAGCTGTGAAACACAGAGCTGTTTCCTCTCCCCACCCCTATTAAAAACCCGTGAGACACACAGGTGCTTCAAGGAAATTGAAAAAGCAATGACAACAAACACGAAGCAAATCCTCGACTTGTTTTCCAGGGTCGCCAGGCAAGGTGTGAAAGTCCATTTCCCTCTCTCTAGGTGAAAGGAAGTGTCCAAGGCAGACTCCAATGCGGTCAGTGCCCCAAGGCCACCACCTCACTCCGCTTCCCCCTCCTACTCATCCTCTCCTGCAGTCTTCCAGGTCCATTTTTCGGGGTGATTTCCCCCCTTCCGTCGGGCAGCTCTCCTTCTCCCTTTTGCAGTCCTCCCCTCCCGTCCCCGGGCCGAGACGGCGGGAAAGGCGGCGCTACCTACAGCCGCAGGACTCCACTACCATGTCCTCGTACTGCTTATAGACCACGTTGTTGCCCGCGTCGATGTAGAGGATGCTAATGGGAGTCAATTTGGTGGGCACGCAGCAGCTGGGTGGGGTGGAGCCGGGATCCATGGAGTTCATAAGGGTCTGGATGATAGCGTGGTTGGTGGGCTCCAGGTGGGAGCGGAGGGGAAAGTCACACACCCCCTCGCAGTGGTACGCCTCGTACTCGAGGGGAGCGATAATCCAGTCGTCCCAGCCCAACTCCTTGAAGTTCACGTGCAGGGGCTTCTTGCTGCAGCGCAGCCGCGACTTCTTCCCGTGCCGCTTGCCGTGACGACTGGCGAAGGCAGTGCGCCGCCGCCGGCGGCCCTGCGAGGCCAGCCCCCACTCTTGGACGCCCGCGGGCGGCGACAGCGGCGGGGGCGACGGCGAGGGAGGCAGCCACGCGCCCTCGCCCCCCGCCGCGGCCGTGGCCGTGACGGCGGCGGCTCCCAGCTGCTCGCGCATCTCGGCAAACAGGTTCTTGCGCTTGGATTTGGTGAACACGACGAGCAGGGCGCGCTCCTGCGGCGGCCGCACCCTCCGGCCGAAGCCCAGGCTCCGCAGGTCCAGGGGCGGCTCAGCCTGAGGCGGTGGGGATGACGGCGGGGTCTCCCCGCCGGGCTCCCCCCAGGCGACCCTCAGCTCCAGCAGAGCTGCTTCCAGGGCTGGTGGCGGCGCAGGCCCTGCCACACGTCGAAGACCTCCCAGCCGGCTTGGGGCGCCCCCTGCGGGTCGAGGGTCCGGGCGTCCAGCATTCGTGGGGACAGGCAGGAGAAGAGCTGCACGTGGAGCGGGCCGCCCGGGGGCCCGGGGGAAGCCGGGGGCGCCTGGCGAAACAGCCGCAGCTCCGCGCCCACCAGCTCTTCTTTGTCTGAGAGCGTCGACACATCAAACAAATACTTCTGTCTCCTGAGAGGAGTGTGCGAGAGATCGTCTGCGAGATAAAAAATAATTACAGTCAGTTTCACTTAAGGGGGAAATCTTCCCAGTTCTCTCTGGCAGCCCCCTGGGAGGAAAAGCAGGGGCTGGGGGAGGGGACAGAGGAGGTTAGAGGTGGGGGAGGTGAACGAAGCCGTCCCAGGTAGTTGGGCAGCCCTGGGGCCTTACCAACCCCAGAGTTACCATGTCCTAGCCTGAGAGAGCACTGGGGTCGGGCGGGGGGTGGGTGGAGAAGCGGTGGCCAGAGATAATCCTCCCTCCCAGTCTGCTTTGGGCAGTTTAAGCTGGGGGCGGAAGTCAGACAGGAGCTGCAACATCTTCACAGGCCTTTTCCCAGAAGGTGGAAAAACCAACAGTTTACCTTTTGTTACAATGTAAGCTTCTTGAAAGAAGGGATTGTTTCTTTCTTTGTACTTGAATCATCAGCGCCTAGCAGAGTGCCTGGCATATAGTAGGCACTTAATAAATGCTTATTGATTGATTGAAGGACTTAAAACCTATGCAGAAGACTGAGTTTTTTCCCCTTCAGCTGCCTGGACCTTCAAACAAGGGGAACGAAGCAAGAAAAGAGAGGGAGGGCCCTTTCTCCAAATAATTCAGCCCTCATTAAAAAATAAAATAAAATTTTGTTGATATCAGAACCAGAGCTTTAACAATCCATATCGGCAGTTTACATGAATCAAATTCCTTGGCTTTTGCCTCAGTTCTCCACTTAATACTGGAATAGACAACGAGGACTACCTCCAAATAGAAAGCATACGTGGACATACCAATTATGCATTGGGAAACTTAGGTGTACTCAGAATAATTGCAGCATTTGGGTAAGACACACTCAGAAGGGGTTTCATGCATCCACAAAAACAGTGACATTTACAACATCCAACCAGAAATCCTCTTACTTTTACTCTCCAATAGGTTCTAGAGATAGACTTTCAGGACACATTCACAACTAGGGAATGATATTTAGGGGAACATAGGGGAAGATGGCTTTTACAATCCAAAGAAAATACTCTGGGACCTAGGTGAACCTGGATTTCTTTTTTGACACGTTCGTGCATGAAGGCCAACACCAAACCGAAGTGCAAGGCGGAAAGCTAACCAGATTTCCCCCAAACTGCCTTCTCATAAAATGTTTACAACCCAGCAAATACAAAAATCCCCAAAGCCCCGGGCTTTCCCCAGAAGCTAGTAAAGTTTAGGTAGATTTCAATAGTAAAAGTGTCACTGGAGCCTGTGTTCAACCCTTACTGCCTTTCCAAACCCAGCTAGCACCAGAACTAGAAATAGAGACTAAAGAAACACTCTATGCCGGTCCTTTATACTTTCTGATTCAGAGGCGGTTGCTCTCTAACAGTGCACATGCCCCAACCTGAAATGGAGCAGCGGAAAGGGTTAGTGAGGCAGGGGAAAAAAAATAGAGGGAGGAGGCCTTCTGGAGAGGACAGCCAGTTGATTTATGGGAGTCGAGACCTTCAGACCAACCCGGGTCACATCAAATTCAACAGGAATTCAACATTCTCTCCTTTCTACCTCCTTTAAAGAGCCCTGAGTTTTGGCCCTGGATTCAGCCACTGATGTAGTCAAGTCACGGGACCTCTCACCTGGAGGCTTCATTTTCCTGCCCCAGAAACCTAATCAATTCCTGGCTTCTCACAGCAAGAGGGATATAGAGAAAGAAAAGTGTCTTTAAGATGTTTTAAGCCCTCCTTACATATAGTATAGTAATATTTGGACTACGGAAGAGGTATGAAAGAAGCTAGCCAAAGCCTTGTGACTTTTCTTTCATGGAAATTACAAAAAAGATTAAACAAAATTTAATAATGGTACAGTCAGCATTCCCTTAGGAAATAATTTCCACTTCTGTTTTTGTAAGCCTTCAAAATAACCGTGTTTTGGCCCTGTTTGTGATAGGTCAAGACCTTGATTTTTATTTATGTTGCCCACATGGCAGCATGGATTGGAGAGAGCTTTTTTCTTTTTAAAGGTTGGTAAATAGGCTGCAGCACTGAATGAGATCCTCCTGGTCTGGACCATCAAGAGTAGAACTCATAGCTTTGAAGCAAAAAACATTTGGTTAAATTGTGGGCTAGTAACACTACTTCTCTTTTCTGTTCTCATTTTTTCTCCTTCAGTTTTTGTCACTGTCATCAAGTGATGAATGACATTGAACATGTCCTTTGTAGGTTCTTCAGAAAATTTGGGACAACAGCATATATTCCTCTACCTGCCTACAACTGTTCTACTAACCCACAAAAGGCATTTTGTTAGTTTGGGGTCTACAGAGTTTTGAGTCCCTTTCATCCTTATCCAAGGGCTGCACTGCCAGGACATCCCACCCTAATCCCCACCAAACTCTGGCTTTGTGACCTGGCACTTTGGGGAGTTCTACTAACTGCTGTGGGCAGTGTTGTTATTGTTGTTGTTGTTGTTGTTGTTGTTGTTGTTGTTGTCAATTGTGTCTGACAGAGTCAGCTCTTCCTGATTCCAGGCCTGGTGCTCTATCCACTGCACCACCTAGCTGCCCATTGAGCAGTATAGTGTAGGGAAGAGAAGACCTAGGTTCTAGTTTCACTTGTCACTTGCTGGCTGCATGACAACCAGCAAGTCATAACTCCTCCAGGCCCTAGTTTCCTCATCTACAATGTGAAGGGGTTGGCTTAGAAGAGCTCTAAGCCCTTTACCTCCCTTTAAGGAAACAAAACAGAGCCAGGGCTATGGTTGTACCATAACACTCTCCTCAATCCATCTTGAAACATATCCCTTACTCTTGGATAATTACTCTTCAAGAACTGAATCTTCTGCTTTAAAATTAATTAAAATATAATTAGATCATTAGGTCATAGGAGGAGTGCATTTTTTTAAATTTAGCATTAACATGGCTCTGAACACCAAAATGTCTCTAGCTAACACAGTAGTTGTTGAGGGGTAGACTCAACAAAATTTAGACTCAACTAAGTCGCTCTCTGAGGAAGAGGAGGAGGAAGAAGAACTTAAATTAGTACTGCATGTCTGAGGAGGGTTTTTCAAAAATAAAAATCTTTCATTTGAAACAAGACCCCTAGGTAATGTAGTGGATAAACTGCTGACCTCAGGAAGACCTGAGTTCAAATCTTGCCTCTTGTTAGCTATGTAACCTTACAGAAGTCACTTACCTTCTCTCAGCCTCAGTTTCTTCAACTCTAAAATGGAGATAATAATAGCACCTATCTTACAGGGTTGTTATGAGAATCAAATGAGGTAAAGTGTATAAAAGCAGCCTGTAAACTCTAAGTGGATGAAGCACTGGGCTTAGAATCAGAACGCTCATTTTCAAATCTGGCCTCAGACACTTGCTGGCTGTGTGACCCTTGGCAAGTCACTTAATCCTGTTTGCCTCAGTTTCCTCATCTGTAAAATGAGCTAGAGGAGGAAATGGCAAACTACTCCAATCTTTGCCAAGAAATAGAGTCACAAAGAGTCAGACACAATGAAACAACAACAAAACTTTAAAGCAATATAGAAATGTTAACTAGTATTATTGTTAAATAAATTGATTCCCTTTTGGATAAAGGGAAATTGAAGTCAGTTCTCTTGTACCACGCTGTGGCTGCAGCAAGGAGTGTACCACACTCAGGGTTCAACTCACCAGTCACTTCCTTCCTCCCCCACTCCCTCCCCAAAGGAACATGCCCTGAGGCCCACTCTTCTGTCTGGAGAACTCCTAGCTCAGATCACTATTTGTTGAGAAGCCATAGACATGCTCACAGACCCTCTCCACCTCCTCACCAGATACCTTGTTCTGCCCCACCTTTCCAGCTCCCCTTGATATATCATCTTGACCAATAGGATGCACTGGTGGTGCTGAATTAGGAAAAAAGTCTGAAGAAGGAAGTATGAATGAAAGAAAAGGAAGAGGAAGAGAGAGATGGAAGAAGGAAAGAAGAAAGGACAGAAAGAGGGGAAAGAGAAAAAAAATCAGTGCAGAATCTCAAAGTGTCTATGAACGCTTTTAGCATTTCCCACTGTGACTAAATTATCTATTATGCACACAAAAGTAAATCTTTGAGTTTCTCTCTGCTGGGCCACTAGTCAGAAGTGAGCCAACGCTCACAGATGGTATAATGCAGTGCAAAGAGGCCACGATTTGGAGATTTGAAGTCACGGGAAACTGGGTTCAAAACTCAGCCCTGACACTTATTACCTTGGGCAAGTCACCTAATCTTTTGGGGTCTCAGTTTCCTCATCTAGAAAAGAAGTGAATCTATATGAGCCTATACAGATCCTACCCATGAATATATGTATGGGGAAGGGAACCTGCAGAAGGGGGAAAAAAACCTCCACAACCCTCTGGTGAACAGAGTCATTGCAATACCTCTTGTGCTTCTTATGCCCCCATGACCCATCTCTGGTTTGATCTCTGAAGATCCAGAGAGTCTAAGAGAGAAGCAAAATTGCCTCTCCATTTGGGGCTAAATCCCTTTGGACTTAGTTTGGAGGGGAGGGCTAGAAAACTCACTCTAATGTAATCAAATTCATGTTTATCCCTGTATTTCCAAAATTTTGGTTGTGACTTTATTGGGAGAAGGGAACAAAAATATGAGATTTTATTTTCCAAAGTATTGCTGAAATATGTGGTCACATGACAGTTTAAGTTTTTCTTTGATGGATTTACACATTTTCTCTCTTACCAGCCTGACCTGTTAACATGTAAGCAGTACAGACTGCAGGCTGAAACTCCCACCATGCTTGGGAGGTATACCTTTGCTGAGCTGAGCCAATCAGTAAATCCTAGGAAGAGGTGCAAGGAGGTAGGGGGAGGCTGAGGTGGGAAAGGAAAAAGAAAGATGCTTTAAACAAAATCAGAACCTACGGCTTCAAAATCCTCTTCCCAACTTTTCACAAATACCACCACCAAAGAAACTTCAAATCTCTACTTCTCTCCCACTGCCGAATTCGTCTTTTGTTTTGCTGTGGTAAGGAGAGAAAGGAGGCTGTGCAATTTCATTGGTTATTGAT